ACGTCGGTCTGACGTCAGACCGCCGTCGGTCCGACGTCAGACTGTCGTCAGGCCGACGTCAGCCTGGCGTCATACTGACGTCAAACTGACGTCAGACTGACGTCAGACCTACAGACTGACGTCATGTCGACGTCGGAGGAGGAGTAGGAGGAGGGGGGGAGGCGACTGAGGAGGAGGACGAGGAGGATGAGGAGGATAATGATGAGGAGGAGGAGGGAGGGGGGGACGCAGAGGAGGAGGACACGGACGCCTTTGCAAGGGGTAGAAGGAGGAGGGAAGCGAGCGGTGGCAAGGGCGGGCGTCCTTCATCGTGTCGTCGTCCAGGCTCGGCTCCGTGGGCTCGCCCGTCACGTCGTCGTCCACGTCGGGCTCGCCCGTCACGTCGTCGACCATGGGCTCGCCCGTCACGTCGTCGTCGCTGTGGTCGCTGTGGTCGCTGTGGTCGCTGTGGTCGCCGCTGTCGCCTCGCGCTGCGCGCTTGCTCTGTTCCCCCCCTCTGCGCGTCTTCGTCCTCATCATCCTCGTCCTCATCCACCTCAACCTCCTCTTCATCTATCCTCCTCATCCTCATCCACCCCGAGCACTGTCATCATCCTCGTCCTCATCCACCTCACTATCCTCTTCATGTTTACATGATTGTTAATATCAGTACTCTCTTCCCGCCTTCATTTTCGCTCTCATGATATCATTCGTTGCCCTCTTCGTCCTGCGCCTCGATTCGCATTTCCCCCTGCGCTTCCTGCCCCCCATCCACCCCCCCTCCCCCTCCTGCTCTGACCCCCTCCCCCTCTCTCTCGGCATGGCCTGCACGTGGCACGATGGCGTGCTCGGGGTAGTACGTGCCAGCGCCGCGACGACCGCGTCCAGGCGCAGGAGGCGGCACCACTGGGCACCGATACGAGGAGAGATGAGGGGAGATGAGGGGCATGGGGTGACAGGGAGAAGGAGGGGGACGGGACGGAGGGACAGGGGGATAGTGAGCGGTTGAGAAGGATGAAGGGATGAGTAAGGTGCGGGTGAATGTAACAAGACGGAGAGTGGGTAGTGAAAAGGGTTGGGCAGGCCAAAGCCTCCGCGCGCGTGGTTGGTCACGTTGCACGCCCATCAAGTGCAGGTAATACCACAGCGTGTCTTGCTCTTCGTCACTGCGTTGCGAGAGAGCCTGCGGGGCGGCAGGGAGGCATGCCGTCATGCTGACGCCAGTCGGACGTCAGACCGACGTCAGTCTGACACAAGATCAGACAGACGTCAGGCTGACGTCTGTCTGACCTCAGACATACCGACACCAGACCCGACGTCATGTCCGACGTCAGACTGACGTCAGACTGACGTCAGACTGACGTCAGACTGACGTCACCCTGACGTCAGACCCGACGCCAGACCTGGCGTCAGACTGGCGTAGCCCTGACGTCAGACTGACGTAATCCTGACGTCAGCCTGACGTCATACTGACGTCAGGCCAACGTGGGGCTTACGTCAGATCGACGTCATGTCTGACGTCATTCCTGACGTCAGACCGACGTCCGACTGACGTCATTCCTGACGTCAGACCGACGTCAGACTGACGTCATACCTGCGTCAGACCGACGTCAGAATGACGCCCGTCGGCGCAGAGAGAAGGAATGATAAGGTTGGGAAACGAGGAGGATGAGGCGGGTAGAGGGGATGATGAGGCGGAGAGGGAGGGGGAGGATAATGAGGGGAGGAGGAGGAGGGGGAGGGGGGAAACTGGGGGGGGGGATGCAGAGGAGGGGGAGGAGGGAGGAGGAGGAGGAGGAGGAGGAGGAGGAGGGGAGGAACAGGAGGATGAAGACCAGGGCTGTCCTCATAATGCGGCTCCTCCTGATGTCTCCTCCTCCTGCTCCTCATCCCCTTCTCTAGCTCTCGTTCGCTCCCCCTCCTCCTCCCTCCCCTCCTAGCTCTCTCATTCTCCTCCTCCTCCTCCTCCTCCCCCCCCCTCCTCCTCCTCCTCCTCCTCCTCCTCCTCCTCCTCCTCTCCTGCTCCTGTCCTCTCAATCGTCGTCGTCAGCGCCGCCGTCGTCCCTGAGCCTGGCGCCGTCGTGCACCATTGTCGCGGATGCGACGCAAGTGTTTGTAGATGCAGCTCAGCTTGTCGCCCAGGCTCCCTCCGCGCATCTCAGGGGTGCCGCTGGGCTCCCTGGAGGAGCGCGGGAACCTCGGCAGGGACGGCGGCGCCAGACTGGCGTCAGACAGACGACGGTCTGACGTCAGCCTGACGTCGGTCTGACGTCAGACAGACGTCAGACCGACGCCAGACTACCTGACATCGGTCTGACGTCGGTCTGACGTCAGACCGATGTCTGTCCATCCTGACATTCCCCCCGCTCGTCCTCCTCCTCTCCCTTCTCCTCTGCCCCCCGCCCACCTCTTCATATGCCTCATGTTCCTCTTTCTCGTCCTCCTCGTACACCTCCTCTCCTTTTCCACCATCCCCTCACTTTCCGCATCGCCACCCCTTCCTCTCATGATCGATTGTCCTCATCATCCTCCTACTCATTTTCCTCCACCTTTTTTCTTTTTCTACTCCTTCTCCTCCACTTCCTCATCCTCCTACTCCTTCCCCTCTTCCTACTACTACACCTTCATCAATTCATGCAGCCCCGAGCACTCCGTCAGCACGGCGTCGCACGCGTCGCGGACCTGGGTCCACGGCGGCTCCGCCTCGGGAGCGTGGCGGAGCAGCACCTCCACCTGCGTTGGGAGGGGGGTCGGACGGGCGCCTTGGACGATGAGCGAAATGGAGGAGGAGGAGGAGGAGGAGGAGGAGGAGGAGGGCGAGGAGGAAAAGGAGAGGGAGGAGGACGACCATGAGGCGATTGAGAAGGAAAATCATGATGAGGTGTCGGGGGGGGGGGGGGGGTAGGGGGGGAGGAACAGGAGGAGGAGGAGGATGATAGACACAGGGGGGGGAGAAGGGGTGCTGCTAAGGACGACGAGGAGGATTATCATGAATGGGAAACTGCAAAAATCTGGTGTTACATTGGATTCCCGTGACCCCCCCGCCCACCAGCTCTGGGTTCAGGGCCAACGACGGGCCGTGCACAGCCTTATCTTTGGTAAGGCTGTGGTAGAGCCCCAAGTCGAAGGCTTTGCGGGCGCCCACATCCTTCACGAGTTGCAGGAGGCTCTGGGTGAGGTTGCCCGTCAAGCCCCAGCTCGGGCGCCTGATCGGGGGCCGCGGGCTGGGCCGCGGGCTGGGCCGCGGGCTGGGCAGCGGGCTGGCCCGCGGCGACGGCGTCGGCTCCATGGTGGAGCGGCGGGCGGCGACGGCGGCCGCTCGGCCGCAGCGCTAATGCCAAAATGGCTGCCGACGTCAATCGCGCAACGTCATCCACCCTTTCATGAATGCAGTCAATCCCCACACAGGATCGCAGGAGGAGGGGTAGGAGGAGAAGGAACAGCAGGATGACGAGGACGAGACCGAACGTAAGGAGGAGGAGGGGCCACGACAGGAACGGTACTCGAAAATAAGAAGGAAAATGATAATGGAATGGTGGGGGATGATGGATGATGTTTTGTTTCCCGCGCCACCGTCACTGCCTGAAGTAGTAGTGGCGGTACTTCAAGGCCTCGATCCTCCTGTACCACAGGAGGCGCTCCTCCCCCTCCTCGTGCCAGGTCATGCAGATGCCCTCCTGCGGCACGTGGGTCAGCAGGAGGGCGCCTGGCTGGCTCGGCGTCCACCCCGCGTCCACGGTCCAACAGGGGGGCCAAGGGCCCCCCTGGAGATTCCGCGTGGTGACGGCGATGGCGTCGGGGCAACCCTCCCATCGGGTCGGCCCCGCCATCCGCAGGAGGGGCTCCAGGAAGCCCCTCCGCGGCTTCCTCGTCTTCGACGTCAAGGGAAGCCCAGGGTGGACGTCGTTGATCTCGACGACCGTCCATGGGATGCCAAGCCCTGGTGGGCCCGTCACCCCATGCTCGATGTGCAGGCACGAGACGTGGGTGCTTTGCCCCTCGCGCGCCATGGCGCTTGAGCCAAACAGGCTGCCCGAGGAAGCTCTCGGTAAGAGGTGGATGATGAGGGGGGGGAGGAGGAATAAACAGACGGAGAACTATAGAAAGGAAGGAACGAAGAAGTAAACAACACACCAGGATAACTACATGGAGGTCAGGGGGAGGAGGGAGAAGAAGGAGGATAAATGACCCACTTCTGCTGAGGAGTGAGAGCGGGAAAGGAGAAGGGACTGGAGGATAATGAACGCAATGATGCTGAGGACGGACAGCAGGATGAGTAGGCAGAGACGAGGGAGGGAAAATGGTGAGCAATCGTAACATAGCAAAACATAGGATAACATACCGATGCGTAGCCTAACACAGCATATCATATCATAGAATTGCACAGCCTATCATGCCATAGCACACCGTCTCTTTGCATAAACACCATATAGTGACATGCCATAGCATAGCATAGCATGCCAAACCATATCAATGTTATATCACCAGTGAACATCATGGCATACCATACCATATCATGATAAACTAAAACATGGCATACTCCTGTATATAACAATAACTCTAGAAACCCTCTTATGATATGATGAAGCTCCATAGCATACCATATCATAGCTTCCCAGAGCGTCACCTGACAAACACGATCATATCATACCATAGCATAGCGTAGGATAGCATATAACCACGCAGCCGATCTGACAAACGCGCTTGTCACATCTGACGGTCGCGCCCGGGCGCGCCCGGTCGCGACCGAAACCGGCGACCGGTCGCGCCCGGGCGCGCCCGGTAACGGTTCCCGAAAAATTCTCGGCAAACTGAAACGACCGACCAGTGCGGTCGCGACCGAAAATTTTCGGTCGCGCATGATCTGGGGTCCCCGACCTCGCACGTCCCCCCCGGCGCCCTGACCCTCTTCCCAGCCGCCGGTCGCCGCCCTCGTCTCCGACGCCGTCGGCGGCCCTCGTCGCCGCCGCCCTCGCCCTCGCCGCCGCCCTCGTCGCCGCCGTCGCGCTGCGCACCCGCAGCGGCCTCCTCGACTTCGGGCCCGCCGCCTGGGAGCGCCCGGGCCTCGGCGCTCGGGCCCCGCCCCGCCTCCCAGCCGCGGTTCGGCCCCGGTTCGGCCCGCTGCCGCCCGCAGCTTCGGTCGCGGGGAGGGCGGCCGTGTGCACGGCCTCCGCGCGGACCGTGACCTGGTGGGCCTGTTTTCCACCAGCACCACCACCATAAGTTGGAGGGGGAGGGGGTCGTCCTCCTCCTCCTCCTCGTCCTTCTCCTCCTCCTCCTCCTCCTCCTCCTCCTTTTCTGCCTCATTTGCGTCCTCCTCCTCCTCCTCCTCGCCCTCCTCTTCCTTCCCCTCTCCAAAGCCCATCATGACCTTCGGTCGGTACGATCAACATCGGTGCTGAACACATGGGTACGAAGGCCGACGGCATCTCTTTGAGCGGGCTTCGTTGTCGGCGTCGCGCGGGCGGTGTCCATTTGAGGAAATAGACCGCCTGCCCCAACAGCGGCCGCTGTCGTTTTTGCACAACTTCTGTATCCCGTATCCATTCCAGGCGCCCAAGTTCGGTGCAGTCGCTGAATGCGATACGTACGATAGCAGCGGTTTGCGCGCCTGGGTTGTCCCCCCAGCGCCCCCCCTAAACCACACATTTGCAGGTCACTCGTGGGTGGGTCACTCTCGCGTTTTGCCCAGCGGAGCAGGGAGTGCGCTGCTTACGCCGAGGACTCAAGGATTTCCTACGCTTTTCGTTGGTCTCCTCCTGCTCCCTCTAAGATTGCGGAGAGCGGTTCAACATAAATTTGCCAGTCGTAGGGAACACATGTCCACGGGCGGCTGGGAAGTTTGTACCCCTACAGTGGCAGGCTGGGGTACAGACTTTCCAGTCGCCATGGGACAACCGCCCCCCGATCTGGGAGCAGATTGTGTCATACCGTTCTTCCTTTGCTAATCCTCAGCCAAACTCAGAATAGGGGGAGGGGTGAAGGCATTGAAAAAGGAATTCCTACTTCTTAGAAGGCGCTGGCCTTGTCTGTAGATGTAGGGTCGGCGACTTCTAAGCAGCAGTCTCCTAAGAGGCATCCGTGCGTGCGGTTCCAAAAGGGGCTCGAGTTTCGCGCATCGAGTTTTTGTGCTGTCTGGTTCTTGTTTGGGATTCCCAGGGCGCCGGCACCGCTACATCTGGATCCGCTTCCAAGTTCCGGTGGGAGTACTGCTTCAGTTCGTTTCCGGGGGGCCGAACTTTGGGGGGTGGGGTGGACCTCTGGCGTTTTTTTGACAATCCGACAGAAGGGTCTCGCATCTCACATGCTCAGTTTATGTTCATGTCTTCTGTATTGGTATGTTGCGAATCCGTTTCCAGAACACGCGAGGAAATGCTACCCCCTCCACGCCCCAGGATTTTGGGACGGATCGACGCCGCACCCCTTGCGCATCCCGTCTGGTGGCGATGAAGCCCCAGCCCTGCCACGCCTTGGAGCACAGGGAGGAGGGGTCGTGGTGGCGAGGAGATGCAGCCGCTGCCACGCAATACACGGGGGGGGGGGGAAGTGCACAGGTATGCGCATGTGGTGTGTAATTCCTATATATATATATGTTTATGTCTATACATATACAAGCTAGCGTGGACCCCAAGCGGTGTGTTTCTAGCAACCTGCGTGGTGCAAACAGGGGCGCAGCATGTGCTGGGCTCGTGCGCTCGGAGCACGTGTCTTCACGCGTTTCGGGCCACGACAGGGCCGCAAGGGAGGGACCCAACGGGGAACCAAATGCGTCCGCCAAACCCAGTACAGCGTTTCGTGGCCCCATAGGGAGCGACGACGACGACGACGACGACGACGACGACGACGACGACGGCGACGACGACGACGACGACGGCGTCGAGGAAGACGACGACGACGACGACGGAGCGCGCCGCCGAGGCGTTGGAGCGCCGGCGCGTGAGCTGGTGCGGAGGCTGCTGCAGGTGGATGCCGGGGCGCGGCCGACGGCGGCGCAGCTGCTGCTGGAGCCACGGGCGCCTTGTTTGCTGCAGGGGGAAGGGCGATGATCCACGCTTGTGAGCCAACTGTGAGCACTTGCCAAGTGGCTAGCATCGGGGAAAGGAGAAGCGTCACCACCACAATCAGGGGGGCCACCTCCAGCGAGGAGGACCACGATGTCTCACGGAGCTGGGGATAGGGGGTTGCCTCGAGATATAGGGGGGACCACACCACCAAGGGGACACTCTTTGTTCCTCCCGCTGGTGGTCCCTGGGCTTTTCCTTTTTCTTGCCAGCGGAAGTTACCACCTTGCCAGCGGCGGCAGTCTGTGGGCCAGACCTCCGAGAAGGCTGCAGCAGATCGAGTCGCTGGAGACCCGTGGAGGTCTGGGCACACCCTTCCAGCCCCGGGTTACGCACTTGGCGAGGAGATTTCTATTCTTGCTGGCGCAGCAGCCTGTCCCGCACCCTGTGGAGAATCTTTAAAGCGCCGTAGCAAGTGGCGGCTCCTCGCCCCTGGGCTCCAGAGGGCCGTAGCGTGTATCACGCGCGTCCGCAGGCTCTGGAATGCCGTGACCTGTGATGTTTGTGTTTTCACATGCAGGCCATGGCGTGGCACCTTTCTTCCTGAGATCCTGGACCGCAACATGTCTGCATGGTACAGCTTGCTTTCGCAGGGGGGAGAAGGCCGTAGCAGGTGACGGTTCGGTGCCCCCTGCTCGCCGCCCCCTGCTTCTCGAGTGAGTCCAGCTGTAGGAGGAGGATAGGGGGAGGAGGAGGAGGAGGAGGAGGAGGAGGAGGAGGAGGAGGAGGAGGAGGAGGAGGAGGAGGAGGAGGAGGAGGAGGAGGGAGGGGGAGGGGGAGGGGGAGGGGGAGGGGGAGGGGGAGGGGAGGGGGAGGGGGGAGGGGGGGGGGAGGGGGAGGGGGGGGGGGAGGGGGAGGGGGAGGGAGGGGGAGGAGGAGGAGGGAGGAGGAGGAGGAGGAGGCATGCCCAGGTGCTCTGCCAGAGTTCCCTGCCTCTCTCCTCCCCCTCCCTTCGCCCCGCCGAGGAGCCCTGGGTCGCCCTTCGGCCCACGCGCCCGTGGGCCGCGGGGCAGCCTGGCTGGGGCGCAGAGCCCCCCCGGGGAGCCAACCTCTCCCGGGCTCTCCGCGGGGGCTGAGCGCGGCGGCGCTCGCGCTGTGAGGTCCTCCTCCTCCTCCTCTCCTCCTCCTCCTCCTCCTCCTCCTCCTCCTCCTCCTCCTCCCCCTCCTCCTCCTCCTCTCGAGCTCCGCCATTGTGCGGGCCCGCCGCCGCGACAGACCACGAGCGGTTCGCACAGCCGCCGCATTTTTGCAGATCCGTGGCCTCGCGGTCCGGGCTGCGGGGCGCGACCCCGCGTGGCTGCGCGGTCGCACGGGCGCGTGCCGCACGCGGCATCCCGCGAGGAGCTGCTCTCCGTGTCTCCACGCGGTCGCGGCCCGGGGGCCCAGCCCGCGAGGCCACGGGTACGGACTGTCTGCCCACGAGCAGAGCCACGACGTCAGCGCCACCGCAACGGGCACTCGCTAACGAGGGCTTTCTCGAAGCTTGCCGAGGCTCGCTCGTTCCGTCGGCCGCGCGCCGAGGGGGTGCCAAGGGGGGAGGCAGAGGGAGCGGGCCTTCTCCGCAGGCTTGGGTCGGGCCTCTCCCTCCACAGGGGGAACATTCAAAACTGGTAACGAAAACAGTCTGGGGACTATTTTTTTGACTACGTTTGGGTATGTCTTGAATATTTCTGGAGTGCTTCTAATTTTTCGTCCAAAATCCCCCTGTAGAGGGACACGCCCGACCTAACAGAAAGCTCGGAACACTCAGAAGGCTCGGGCCTCTGAGAATCTCTCAAAGCCTTCTCCTCCGCCCCGCCGCCCTCTTGGAAGGTCGGCGCGCCGCCGTTTCGGGGCCTCTTTCGGGCATCGCAGCCTCGCCCGCGTGGGGGAGGATGGGATTCGCCGGGCCGCTGGCCAAAGCACTCGTTGGTAGAGTGCCCGTCAGGGGAGCGCTGAGGACGGCTTGTCTCTCCTGTCAGGCCATGCCAAGGGGGGATCTCCTGCCAGGGGGGCTGGCAGCTCCTCCTGAGGCATCGAGGTCCGCGGAGCCAGGAAAGAGAGCAGAGCTTGAACAATCATGAACGGCGTGGGGAGGCTGTCGGGGTCCCCCGGCTGATGGGCAGATTTTCCACCACCGCTGCCAGGTGTAGGACGGGGGAGGAGGGGGTATGTGGAGATCCTCTTCCTCCCTCCCTCCCTCCTTCCCTCCCTCCTCCTCCTCCTCCTCCTCCTCCTCCTCCTCCTCCTCCTCCTCCTCCCTCTCCCTCTCCCTCTCTTCCGTAGCCATTTTGGCTCAAGCCATTTTGGCTCAAGTTCCAACGTGGCTCCCGACGTTGGAGCTTGATTCGCAGCCAAGGGGGCGGCTCAAGGCCCCCGTGCAACCAATCAGCTTTTATATACTGTGCTCACCCCAGTCGCCGCCAGGCTGGTGAGTACGCTTTCAGGCAACACGACTCCCCGAGGAGCTCGATCATGGCTCCTCCTGCTTCTCGTGGGGCTCACCGCAGGATGGCATGGGCATCGCAGTGGAACTGCAAATGGTGTACCAGCAAGTCGGGAGCTCGTTGGTGGAACGCGGCCACAGCTCCCGCCTGTACCCAGTGCGGCTGCAGCAAGGACATGGCCTTCCATTCGGTCCGCCAGTTGTCGGAGGCCCCGAGCACCAGCGCCAAGAAGCCGCCCAGCCCTTCGAACCGTGAGAAGCAGCTCGAGAAGAAACTTGCTGACCTGCAACGTCAGTTGGCAGCCAAGCAGCAGGCCCCCGTGGCCCCTGATGCATCGGATGCCAATGCCATGCAGGTCGATGCGGGCGACCAGCTCGCAAGGGAGAACGCTAAATGGAAAGAGGAGCTGGCCCAGGCAGAGTCTATGCTCAAGGCGCTGCCCAAGGAGCCCAGCACAGAGTTTGGCAAGGAGCAGAAGGCACACTTGGAGCGGCATCGCGACGCGTGCAAGTCCAAGCTGCGCGCTGCTCAGCCCTTCGAGTGGAGGGCGCATGATGTTGTCAATCAGAAGAAGCAACTTGAAGAGAAACGTGCTCGTCGGGAAGGGGTGCGCGCTCAGGCTCAGCAGCGTCTCGAGGAGGCAACCAAAGCTGTGGCCGACGCCGACCAAGCGTTGCAGTTCACCCTGGACCAGATCACAGCGAAGGAAGAGGAGCTCAAGCAGGTGCTCAAGGAGCAGCCGCTGTCGCCCAAGCAGAAGGATCTCAGCGCCACCATCGAGTCCATGGGCACCTCCGTCGAGGCGCTGGGGACCATGCTCAAGGCGAAAGGCCTCGAGCAGACTGACGCTGACATCTTGGGTGGCAAGCTCCGAGAGTGCATGGACATGCTCAAGCTGGCAGAGAAGAAGCTCAACAAGCCGCCCGTGGCCCCGCCCGAGGCCAATGGTGCGGCTGCTCCTCCTCAGCAGCCTCCTCCTGGTGGTGATGGTGGTCAGCCCTCCGCTGCAGGAGGCTTTGCTTTCACTGGCCAAGAGGACCCTGAGGACCTTAAAAACCTGCTGCAGTCCATGGGAGTACCTGCCCCCGAAGATGAAGAGGAAATTCGTGCAGCAGCCAAGCGGGCAGTTGAGCAGTTCACTCAGTTCACGAAGAAGCAGAAGGTATCGGCCTAGACAATTCTGCAGTTTGGCTTGGTTGTTGCTTCACACTACGGTCACCATGACGGAAGCTCACACGATTGAAACTTTCAACTGCTCGTCGCAGCCTCAGCTTCTGGATTATCTTGAATGGTCTAAGGCTCAGGTGATGACGGTGCAGGAACATCACATTCTCCCAGATAAACTACCTGATGCCCAGGCCAAGGCTTTGCAGCGAGGCTGGCATGGGATCTGGTCCGCCGCCAAGGTCACTGATGCTGGTGGTCGCTCGGCGGGGGTCGCAGTTCTTGCTCGTAAGCACGTGGTCGTCACAGCCGCCCCCAAGACCGAGGACGGCGTTATCGTCCCGTCGAGGCTCATGGCTGCGAAGCTGTCGTGGGGGCCCGCTGGAGGACTCATCATCTACACTATCTACCTTTACGTCGGTGAAGGTATGTCTGTCCACAACGTTGCTCTGCTCAAGCAGTTAGCAGAACATGTGATGCTCATGAGGTCGATGGGCCATGCCAATTGGATGTGTGGCGGCGACTTCAACAACAGCCCCGACGACGTCGGCACCGACTGGCTCCACAGTATCGGAGGCTTAGTCGCAGCGTCTCGGGCAACTACGTGCAGGCAGACGCCCCCAGGCACCGTGATCGACTATTTTCTTGTGGGCGCGGCGATGCTGCCGCGCATTCGTAGGCCCGAAGTTGTTGAGGCCGCAGATGCCAAGCCTCATTTGCCTGTGACGATGCCCGTTGCCATTCAGGAGTGCCCTGTCATGCTCAGGAGAATCCAGGAGGCGAAGGAGATGCCCACCACTGTCAAGGCAGGATGCTCACGGTTCCCTTGCAACTGGAGTGTCGTCCGTGAGCAGATCGCCCACATCGAGTCAGATGTTGATCTGGGCTCGGCATGGTTGCAGGTGGTCAACACGATCGAGCTGGAGATAGCAGGTCGGCACGACATTGTTGGAGACCACGTCCTGCGATATCTGACACCTTCGAGCGTCGACATGGAGCTCGTCGCGTTCAAGGGGACTCCTGAGGATCGTCGGGAGCCAGGGCACGGCTGTGCATATGCCTGGCGGGTTGCTGCAAGATGGGCCCGACACATTCGTCGAATGTCCGAGTATATGGACACGCTCATTCATCGCATTGGCAATGCTGGTGTCTCTGCTTCAGTCGAGAAGGAGCAGTTCGCTACACTCCATGAACAGCAACTCCGTGAGGCTGCTCGTGTTCTGACCAGACCCTCGCCTGCCGAGAGGGTCGGAGGTTGTCTTGGGATCGCCCCTGAGGTCTCTCCGAGAGCTGCATCGGCATCTGAGCCGCAGCGTCGGCCCCATGGGGGGGCCAGGTCGGCCATAGGTCGGCTGGGGCGAGAGACTCTCGGGGAGAAGGCCGCTGCTGGGGCCGCGTCTCCCAGTCTTGGGTATCGGACCTCCTCGACGGCTGCCACTGCGGACGAAGCTAGTCAAAACTGGCCGTCAGGGTCCAAACATAACAACAAAACATCTCATCATGGAGTGCGTGGGCAGACTCACAAGAAGCTCAAGCACAGTCACGTCGAGAAGCTAGGCGTCCTCTGCTACGACCTGGACAACTTCTCTCGGCGAGTTCACAGTTCTTCCGATGTGCATCGTATGATGGATGACTCGGCTCGCGACTTTCTGCAGGCCGGGTGGACATCATGGTTTCAAGACCCTAAATTAGATCGCAAGCTGGAGCAGATCACGGCTCAGGCGCAGCTGGTGCAGGATTTGCACTCGGGGCGTCGCAAAGAAGAGTGGCAGCAGTGGACCGAGGAGGCTTTCAAAAATGGTGGACGTGATGCGCACCGTTTCACTCGACTGCGAGCCCTGCAGCAAGTTCTGCAAGCCTCGGACCACTCGACGCCAGCCCAGCTGGCTGACCACGAGCTAGAGAAGTGGCAGCAGATTTGGGGTCTCCATGGAGCTGGCGAGCTTCCTCGGCCTGCTGATGCAGATGAGTGGGAGCACCTGCCAGAGCTCACGGGGGCCCAGATTCGGGCGACTATCATGTCATTTGCTCGTCGCACAGGTCGTGGGCAGATGCGCATTCTTCCTCGGCACTTTTGGTTTGTATGCGACGAAGGGCTACAAGCTATGGCCGAGATGTTCATGGCCTGCGAGAAGCGGCTGATCTGGCCGCAGGCCCTTTTGTTCACAGAGTTGTGTATGCTTCCGAAGCCGAGCGGAGGCACGCGACTGATTGCTCTCCTCAGCACAATGTTGAGGATCTGGGGCCGTGCTCGTCGACATCTTAGCACGGCCTGGGAAAAAGCTCATAGACACCCTGCCTTTTGGGGAACGGGAGCTGGACGGTCTTCATCGGATTGTGCATTCCACTTGAACTTGCAGGCTGAATCAGCACATGCGCGCAAGTTGCACGTCATAACCGTATTCCTGGACACGTTCAAGTGCTATGAGACCATATTATGGAGCATAATACTTCGAGAAGCTAGAGAACTAGGATTCCCTCTTAGA